ACTAAACAAGAGAACAATACTTTAAATCAGTTTATTTCTAATGGTGGTTTTAAAGACATTGAGAAATTGTATGTTTAGTATGATTTATAATATTTCCTTCCATATACAATTGAAATATCTACCAGTTAAACAGTATGCTTGGATGTTCTGGCAGCCTTGGAGACACCTGCAATTTTAGGATCTTCTGTATGACATTCTTTCATGCAGTATATGAAGAATGCTATCTTTATTTACTTGTAGGAACTCAGGTTGGAAAGCATAGAGCATCTTCCAGTTTTTCCCTCAACAGCCCCTTCTCTTAGTCTCAAGGCTATCATATCCTAACTTTCTCATCATAGGACTTACTTTTTAGAAGCCTGATCATCCATGTCACCCTTTTTTGAATGTGTTCCAGTTTCTCTGAATCCTCCTTCAAGTGTAGAGCCTAGAAATGGACATGATACTTGAAGCGGGGTTCAGAATAAAGTGGGGTTATTAATTCCCATTATATGAAATTTATATTTCTATTGATGAAGCCTAACATTACATTCATCCTTTTTGTAGTCATATTGTACTGCTGACTCATATCCACATTGCAATGAGCTACTATTCCCATATCACTTGTAGAAGTATTTTTATTAAGCTAGGAATTCCCCATTGTATACCAGTGCATTTGATTTCCGTTTCTTAAAATGTTCTAATCCTTGTTAAATTTTGAATTTTCTGCCCTCTAAGATATTAGCTGTCCTGTTTAATTTTGTGACACCTGAAAATTTGATAAACATTCTATGCTTTCATCTAAATTTTTAATATAAATGTTGAGGATCAGAAGGCCCAAAGTTGAACCTTGGGATACATCACTCCATACCTTGTTCCAGTATGATGAGGAGACATTAATGTACACTTGTTAAATATGTTTTTTGAGCATGCCACACTTAACTAGTTTTCTACTCAGGACGTTATGACATAGTTTGACAAATAATTTGCTGAAATCAGGATGTCTATAATGTTTCCATGATCTATTGAAGTTTGCAATATTATTTTAAAAAAGATGCATTAGTTTGGCAAGATTTGTTCTTGATACACTCATGCTAATTTTGTAATTTGCCACATTGTTTTTGAAGTGCTCTCAGATCAACCTTTTTATAATCTGCAGTGAATCTTTCTAGGTTTTGATATTAGACCTATTCTATAGTTACCTGGATTTCCCTTTCCGTTTTTGAAGGAATAGCATTTGTCCTCCCATTCATCTGATGTACCCAGGATTTTAAAAAATGTAATAACTAAAGGTTTGGTCATACCATTGGCCAGTTCCTTCAGTACACTGGGATGCAGTTCATCTGCATTCAGAGTAAATAGATACTTCCTCACCATTTTCCATCAGTCTCAAATGTCAATCCTGTCCCTTTATTCTGCTCTTCACAATTGCCTGGTGAAACACTACTCTCCCTTACTGGAGAAAGCTCAGTTGAAATAGCAACTGAATAGTTCTGCATTTTCTTTGTCATCTTTTAGCATTTGCTGCCTTTACCAAGCAGAGGATATACCAGTCTATTCATTTTGAATATATGGAAAGAACCCCTTTTTTGATGTTAGCATCTTTCTCCAACCACAGCTCATTCAAGCTTTAGGTTTTTTGATACCCTCTTACAGTTTCTGGTATGAGTATGAACTCTTCCTTGGTGATACGCTCCTCTTTCTGCCTCACATTTGGATCCCTTTATGTTTTCACAGTACTCTTTGTAAAGAGAAAGCTGCCTGAGGCTCTTTTATGACTTCACCTTTTCCTAAATCAGCTTTTGTTCTACTGCATGTTTGTTTGCTTTAGGTAATATACTGCCTGCTCATAACATGATTCAGAATGGTGTACATCATCAGTAAACAACAGTTAAGTCCATAAAAAAATGGTAAAGCAAGCAAATAATAAAAACAAAACATAAGGACATAAAATGCTGGGAAAAATTCAGCACATGGGATCATAACACTCTTTGACTTAGTGCCTGAGGAAAAGGACCAAGTTTTTAATGCCTTTCAAAAGACAGGGAGGGTTGGGGTCAACTGTATCTCAGGTCTGATGCTGTTCCAAAGGGTAGGGGTGGTGACAGCATCTCTTAGGTCCCTTCGGTTGACATTGCCTAAACAATAGGGCCCGGGATATGCCAATTCTGTGAGATCTTACTGGACAGACAGAGATTATTAGAGATAAGTAATCCTGCAAATAACATGGCCCTGTGCCATGAAGGGTCTTATGGGTGAGAATTGCACATTGAATTGCACCCAGAAGCTCTTTGACCAGTGCAACTTGCAAAGTAGAAATGTTACCTGGACATACCAAGGTATGCCATAACTACTTGTGCTGTTGCATTCTGGACCAGCTGCAGATCAAAAAAGGCCAGAATGGATGCATTTGTTCTATCCCAGTCTTGCCACAGGTCATCGACAAGGGTGATCAATACTGTCTCTGTACTGTGCCCACATCTGAAACCTGGTTAGAAGGGATCTAGATAATCTGCCTCATCCTTTAAAGCAGCAGCCTGACCACCTTCTCAATGAAAGGAAGGTTGGAGACAGGATGTAAATTATCCAGCACTGTTGGGTCTAGTGATGGCTTCTTGAGGAGGGTGTGGACCACCATCTCCCTAAGTGTCGGCAAGACTACCCTCTCTCTCAAGAATGAATTCACCATTGCCTGGACCCAATCAAGAGCCATTTCCCAGGAGGCCTTAACCAACAAGAAGGGGCATGGATCTAAAATACAGGATGACACACTCATAGCTCCTAGAAATCTGTGCAATTCCTCAGGGCCAACAGATCAAACTCTTCCCAGATAACCATGCCAGACTATGCCTCAGCAAACTCCATAGTGCAGCTAGAGTCCAACTCTAAGTGGATCTAAACAATAATCCTTACAGTAGCCCTGCAGGTGATGTTGCAACCTGGTCTTCCCCAGCGAAGTCCAATTCACTTTAAGTAGGGCCACCAGAGAGCAGTTTGTGAGTGCCATAAAAGCAGCAAAATAATTCCATTTTACTGCTCTTATTGCTGCAGTGTAACCCTTAATAAAATCTCTTAACTGTGTCATTGTTTTCCTCCAGCAGCACTCTTGGTATGTCTTCTGCTGTTTCACCCCTGGAGTTCCTCTGAAAACCAGAGGCTCTTTGGGATACGTGTACAGAGAGAAGGCCACCAAGGATCCAATGAACAGACCTTGAGGTTAAGAACGGGGGGCCAGAAGGTAGAATTGATATAAGTCATTAAGAAACCTTCTCTGAGAGTGACCTGCCCCCACCTCCAGTCATATCTCCCTCTGTTCATTGTCACTGAGATATTACTATCTGCCCTATTCCTCCCCCCACCCCTATACAAACAATTCCTTTCCAAACCCAGCCAACTCACCTCTAGGACACAGAATCACATCTAGCAACTAGCAGTCAGAAGACAAGATAAAGACTCCTTAATCTCACAATACATGGACAGACTCAACCACAGTTTCAACTGGGAAACTGTTAGCATCTTAGACCAAGCCACATCCAAAAGCACTGGAGAATTCCTGGAAGCTTGGCATTCAGACAAATCAGCCATCAGTAGACACATAGAGATAAACC